TTTGTAGTGGATGGCTGGATTAGAGCTATTACAACAGTCCATGCAAGAAGTGATGTCCTGACCTGGGGGTGGGGGCAGACATAGAGAGGAATCCTATACCCAGAATGGTCTAGAAGTAAAAATTGTAAATTAGCATAGGGTAAATGATTGAATGTGCGGGGTAAGTGCAAGTGAGAAGTCAAGGGATGACTGAGATTCTAAACCTGGGTGACGGATGGTGGTGCCTCAACCCCCAACAGTAATGGAGACGTTCAGAATTGTGGATTTAAGAGAAAGATAATGAGGAACATCACATAGGCCATTTTGGTTGGAAAGAAAAGTGTATGAAGAGGAATAAGATGAAGTCCACCTGGAATGGTAGACTGGAGTGATGATCCAAATTCAGTTCTCTGGATTCCTAGTCCTGTGATTTTTCTGAGATGTAGTACTGTCTGTCTCTCTCTTTGATTATCTTTTCTTTATCAGAAAACATAATCAATTATCCAAGAACATGTACCTCCCAGGGCCAAAGGAGGTCCTAGCTGAAAAGAGGAGATGCTACCTTCCCGGGACCATCTTAGAATAAAGTAGATTTGTACCCCAAAAAAAAGAATGGGAAGGTAAGCACTCTTCAGAGACCGTAGTAACCTGCGGAAACACACAGAACAAAAGCCTCTAGAGGACATCTAAGTCATCTAGTTTAGAGTTCAGAGTTATTAGTAAAAGATCAAAGTAGAAAGCAGATTTCCAGAAACCAAGTAGAAGAGCAGATATCAACTATTTGGTAAGAGAATTCTGCTTTATTTGAACTCTGGAACTGGGAAATCATAGCACTGGATAACTCCTCACATTAATTAATCTAGGACGGTTATAAAATGACTGGGCTGTAAGCCCAGTTTTCAGTTAATGAATACCCTCAGTGTGACATTTTTTAAGAATATATTCTCCCACTACCCCGCCTCTTTCCCCTACCGTCTCTGTTTTTTAATAAGCCAAAAATCACCAAGTTGGAGAGGACCAGGAAGGCTGTCTAGCCTATCCCATTTTTGAACACAAATCCTCTCTGTAGAATACCCAGTAACTGGTCTTCCAGCTTCTGCTTGGAGATCTCTAATGAACTGGTGCCCAGTGCCTCCCGGGGTACCTCATTCCACTCTTTTTTAGCTCTAGTTATTAGGAAGACTATACTATATTTGCCTCTTTACAACCTGCCCTCTGGGACCAAGCAGAACAGTTAATCTAGTCTCTTTCCACATGGTAGACCTTTAGACATTTGGAGTCAGCTATCATGTCTTCACTAAATATGGAAGATTTTGGAGGCCTTTGATGACTCCTCAATATTTACATGGCACCAAAATCATGGGGTGAACAAGAACCATCTCACTGGTGAGGCATCATGCTAAGAGCTCTGGCTTTGAAGTCAGAGAACCTGGGTTTTGATTCCAGCCCTTTTACTACCTGTCTGACCTTGGACAAATCCCATAACCTTCTCTGGACCTTAGTTACTATATATAAAATGAAGGGGTTGGCTAGATGTTCTCTCTCATTTCTTCCAATCTGAACTTTGGGAGATAGAGTTAGACTTTAAGATGCCCTTGACAATGGGACAATTTATCCCAAACAATGAAGTTCTGTGAGAACAAATATAAAGAAATACATTTAGAGACAACCAATCTATGCAAATTAAAAATGAGGGAAAATTGTCTTACCAAAATATGGCAGAAAGAAATCCACAAGTAGAATCTTAATCAGCAATATAGTTCTGCTAACTTTCAAGCTATCTTCTCTCTCACCTACACATATATACTGGGAAATCTGAGTAATAGCATACACTTTGGCATCTAATAGCTTTGCAGGTAACCCAGTGACAGGAAATGTGCTGCCCCAGTTCACTAGCTGGGCTCTGATTGGAGTACCATATCCTGATGTCATGTTGGGTTGACAGGGCTGATAGAGATTTTTAAATGTCAGGTATTATTTAATGGGGAAAGGAGAAGAGGAACGTTAGCACAGTTGTCTTCAAGCACAGAACAAGTAATGGAGATAGTGATCATATGGTTCCTACATCCCATAAAGACAGAACAAGAGTATATTAAAACTATGCCTTAGAAGATTTTATAGAATCTCTGAGTTGGAAGAGAACTCACAGGTCATCTAAGGTAGTCTAACCTGTACCTGATCAGGAGTTCCCCTCAAAAACATCCCCAGCCAGTAGTCGGTCAGCCTTTGCTTGAAGATCTCTGGGGAGAGGAAACCCACTACGTTTTTTTGCATTTTCTTTTTGGACTGCCAAGATACACTCCTACTGAGCTTTGCAGTTCACTAAAACCACCTTATCTTTTTTCATAGACTGTTAGCTCAGCCATTCCTCCCCATCTTGCACTTGTCCAGTTGGCTTTTAGAACCTAATGGAAAGAAGGACTTTACATTGATCCAAATTTCATCTTCACTGATATATTCTTAAATTTGGCCCATTGTTCAAACTGGTCAAGATTTGGTTCCCCACTTTGTCATCCAATGGTTAAGTATCCATCATAACTCTGTGGTTTGTTTTTGGCTTTGCTTTTGTTTTTTTTTTTTTGTTTGTTTGTTTTGTTTGTTTTTTTGTTTTTTTGGTTTTTTTTTTTGGTGAGGCAGTTGGGGTTAAATGACTTGCCCAGGGTCACACAGCTAGTAAGTGTCAAATGTCTGAGGTTGGATTTGAACTCAGGTCCTCCTGACTCCAGGGCTGGTGCTCTATTCACTGCGCCACCTAGCTGCCCCAATAACTGTGTTTTTTGCAAGTTTGACATGTATCCATGCCTTTATCCAAGCCATTGATAAAAAAAAAAAATATTTAACAGTATAAGGCCAAGGACAGATATCTGAGTCACTCTTATTAGAGACTACCTTCCAAGTTGATCAGAGCATTAATAACTATTCTTAAGGTTCTGGCAATCCAACCAGTTGGAAAAGAAAAAGAAAAGAAACAAGGAAAAGAAGTGTTGAGCCACTCCAGCCTTCTCTCCATCAGGTTTCCTGGCCCTATCCTTCCCTAGGGTAGTCCTTGCCATTCTTTTCTATTTCTTATTTCTACATTATACTTTTAAATTTATTTTTCTTGCTTTTTCCTTGCCAGCTTCTGCTCATCTTGAGGTTTAGCAAACCTGACACTTACAGAATTTTGTCTTGCTTTTTATTCATCCTCTGCTACTTGCCCTTGCTTCCATCTTCACTCCATGCCTTTTAGAACTCTTTAGTTGTTTGATGAGTTCCCTGAGTATCCATATTGGCCTCTTTAAATAATGTCCCCTTTCCTTTCTTATCAAAATAATACCTTTTTGGACTTTCAGGTTTCCATTCTTGAGAGCTGCTCATCCCTCCTAAGTGACTTTCACGTCAGAATGTTAAGTCATGGAATCCTATCTACCCTTTCTCTGAATACTTTGAAATCCATCCTTCCCAAATCACAGAATATTCCTGGCTAGGATTCCTATCCTTTGTCATAAAGGTTTCCATCTTGTCACCTCAGCAACCAGTTCCTTTGTGTTGGTCTACTCTTGGGTCACACTAATGCTAAATTCACAGTCCTTACCAACTTCTAGATTCAGTTACAACAGTCAGCTATCATGAAATAACTGTCAGAACAACCCTTTCATGTGAATATCTTTAGATAATTCTAAAGTCAGATAACTTGCTATTATATTTTCATGTAGAAATTCCTTATTTCTGACTATGAATCATAAATATTTGGCTCTACAAAGGTGCAATGTAATAGTGCTTTATGGGTTAAATATCTTTGTGATATTTAGGTGCTAACTCTCAAGTCTCTTTTTTACCTTTAATTTTCAAGCAGTTTTCCAGTAGGGAGGTCATAGCTGGGTCTATCCAGCTCACCTCCTTTTTTTTTTTCCTCTAATTTTAAGTAGTGTTGGACTGTGAAGATACTGAGAGCTCACTGCTGGAAAGAGCTCTTGCCGTCCCCACTTCTGAGTCCTGTCCAATAGAGAAGCCAATGTCCGTTCCATCTCCTCAGCTGTCCGCTTTGGAATCAGATAGCAGCTCTGCCATTCACCTTGTTGTGCCAACTTCTGAATCCCGATCGTCGATGGAAAAGCCAGTATCAATCCCATCTCCGTTGCCTACTAAAGAAACAGATAGCAGCTGTGTCACTCACCTTTCCGTGCCAACCTCTGGGTCCTGGCCACCAGAGGAAAAGCCAAAGCCACCCTCTTGTCAGTTGCCTACTGTGGAAACACTTAGCAGCTATGCTACTGCCTGTAATAGTAGCCCTGCTTCTCCAGGCTTTGCTGCTACAACTGAGTCCCAGTCATCATTAGAGGAGTCGATATCACTCCCATCCCAACTGCCCGCCACAGAAACCGACAGCTGTGCTATTCACTTTTCTGTGCCAACTTCTGAGTCCTGGCCATCAGCAGAAAAGTTGATATCATTCCCATTTCAGTTGCCCACCATAGAAACAGACAGCAGCTGTCCCACTTACTTAGCTGTGTCATCTTCTGAGTCATGGTCACCAATGGAGTAGATGCCATTTTCATATCCCGTGCCTCCTATGGAAATAAGTAACAGTAGCTTTGCTTCTCCAGGCCTTCATGTACCCTCTTCTATGTCCTAGATACCAACAGAGAATTCAATGCTATTCCCATCTCCTTGGCTTCCTACTATGGAATCATATTACAACTTTGCCACACATAACATCAGCCCTCCCTCTCCAGGCTTTGCTATGTTCACCTCTGAGCCTCAGCCATCACTAGAGAACCTCATAATACCATCACCTCAATTATCCACCATAAAAAAATCTAGCCATCATACCATCTGGAGCATCAGCTCTCCCTTTCCAGGCCTTGCTTTGTCTACCTCAGAGCCTCAGCCATCCCTAGAGACCCTGATACCACCACCATCTCCATTATCCACCATAAGAAAACCTAGCAGTTGTACCATCCATAACATCAGCCCTGCCTGTGAGTCCTAACTGTCATTGAAGAACCTGATTTCACCTCTGTCTCCACAATTCACCACAGAAACATCTAGCAGCTATACCACTCATAACATCAGTCCTTCCCCTCCAGGCCCAACCCATAACATCAGTATAAAAGGACAGGGAAGAGGCGATCTCTGGGGTTTGAGTGGCCCCCTGGCAGTACAGGAGTCCCAGGCCCAGGGCTCCTGGCATAAAGAACAAGCTCTCTGTTGCGTGATTAAGACCGCTGCAATTGGAGCAATAGTAGGCCAAAGAGGAAATAAAATCATGGAATCACAAGAGTCATTGTATTCTAAAATACAGGCCAGCAGAGAAGAACCTGAGGCAGAGGTGAAGATACATGGCAACAAAGAGAACCAGAAATTGGCTAAGTCAATAATAGAGGGAGTAGTCACAAAAGCAGAGAGATATTCTAAAGAGGGAGCGAAAGGAAGCAGCACTTTGAAAACATCTTATACTGAAAAGGGCACAGAGAGGAAGGTACCTATGACTGACTGGGATGCAGTTAGAGTCACCTCCAGTATATACAAAGCAAGTGGGAAGGCCTTCCTCCGATTAAGAAAAACTTCTATGTAGAATCTGCAAGGACCAAATCAATGTCAGAGGCAGAAGTACATAAGTGGCGAAAAGAAAATAATATAATGTGTGAAGACTTGAAAAAAAATGAAAAACGAGCTATTCCACACCCCATTTGCAAATTTGAAGATGTATTTGATCATTATCCTGAAGTTAGGGACAGTGTGAAGAAAGCAGGTTTTAGCAGACCTACCCCAATTCAGTCTCAGGCATGGCCAATAATATTAAAAGGAATTGACCTAATCGGCATTGCCCAGACAGGCACTGGGAAAACATTAGTATATCTGATACCAGGCTTTATTCACCTTGATCTCCAACCAGTAGCCAGGGAGAAAAGGAGTGGTCCTGGTATGTTGGTGCTCACACCAACCAGAGAATTGGCTATCCAAATTGAAAGTGAATGTAAGAAATACACATATGGAGACACTAAAAGCATTTGTATATATGGTGGTAGAGAGAGAAGAGATCAAATTGAGCATGTTACCAAAGGTGTAGATATTGTCATTGCCACCCCTGGCACACTCAGTGATCTTCAGATGAATGATTTCATCAGACTTAACAGCATAACATATCTGCTTCTAGACGAGGCTGATAAAATGCTGGACGTGGGAATTGAGTCTCAAATAATGAAAATTTTATCGGATATACGGCCAGACAGACAAACAGTAATGACCAGTGCAACTTGGCCTGATGCTGTTCGTCGTCTTTCACAAAAATATCTGAAAGATCCAATGATTGTTTACATTGGCACCTTGCATTTAGCTGTAGTAAATACTATAAAACAAAAAATAATCATAACTACGGAACAAGAAAAACGAGTTTTAATACATTGGTTCATTGATTCGATGAAGCCTGAAGATAAAGTAATTATTTTTGTAGGCAGAAAACTTATTGCTGATGATATATCCAGTGACCTGAGCATCAAGGGTATACCTGTGCAGTCACTACATGGTAAGAGAGAACAGAGTGACCGGGAACAAGCATTGGATGAATTTAAAGAAGGAGTAGTGAAAATATTAATAACAACAGATATAGCATCGCGAGGTCTTGATGTTCTAGATGTCACCCATGTTTTTAACTTTAATTTTCCTCAGAACATTGAAGAATATGTCCACAGGATAGGACGTACGGGACGAGCTGGACAATTGGGAGAAGCGATCACCTTCTTCACTAAAAACGATTGGAAAATTGCTGAGGAGTTAATTAACATTTTGCAGCGGGCCAACCAAGAAGTCCCCCCAAGAGCTTGCATCAATGGCTGTGCAATATAGGCAGCATAAACGTAGAAAGAGGGAGGCAAAGTCAGCCAAATATCATAGCAGGGCAAGAAACACTTCCAAATAATGGAGGTAACTTAAAAGACCCTTTTTACTCTCTTTAATAAAAATCAAAAGTACCTTGCAAAAAACCTACTGAGTCTGACATTCTGTTTTCCCCTGGGGATCATGAAACCATAAAAATTGTGTGGGATTGGGGGTGGGAGGGTGGTTGAAAGTGTGGGGAAAGGAAAGAAAAAAATTGTCCCGGGAATTCCAGTACTTTAGTGGACTCTGCCCTCTGTATGTGGAAGTGGGAAGGGACTGTTCCCCCAAGAGTTCAAGATAAGTTTGAGCTCATCTCCTTATGCTGAGCTGACCCCATAGGAATGTTACTGAACTAAATATAGTATTACAACATGTAATATAGATACTTTAGATGAGAAAAGTAGAACATAAAGCAAGGAGTTCATGCTATCCAATAAAATGCACACAGTTCCTCTGGGAATTGAAAAAAGAAAACCTATTTCTGATTTTTATTAAGTTAGATAAGGGAAGGAGCTTGCTTGAATGGACAAGGAATTAAAATCCTTTATACTTTATTATTAACAACCCACCTTCTAGAGTACACCGATATGCTTCAGTGCCCTGAAAGCTTGCAATAACAAAACTGCCCTTCCGTGGACCTTCTTGAATCATTCCACCGAACATCTCATCAAATAGATGATCTATTTATTGTTATGCAGTGCCTTGTTTCATTCTCTACCTCTTAAAACATAATAGAACTTGCTGCCAAATCTGGGGGAACCCCTAGAGCAAAGAACACCCAATCTACATTTGAAAAGTGGCAGCCCTTAGCATTTAGGACAGTCCAGTTCATTCTTGGGTCACTCCTTATTCAAAGGGTCCTAGGATTAGCTCAGGTCAGTTCTGTAATGGAGCGGCAATATGAGGTCTGCCTCAAGGCATACCCAAGGATCAAGTTCAATTTGTGATCCCTCTGGCTAGCCCAGAAAGGATCCAAATGAATTCCCCAAAAGGTCTTAGAATTAATCCATTCTCACAGGAATCAATTCAATTTGATAGAGATAGTGCAGGGAGTTGGACCAGACTTTCTGGACTATCCCAGCTCTGGACCTGCAACCCTTAGGCTCTCCTTTTCCCCTGATCCTCTGTTTATATTCAGGTCCTAACCCCTACTTTCCTTTCAGTATATCTTATAAGTGACATTCTGCTATCTTCCTACTGCTCCCACTTAGTTTAGATCGTCATCACTTCCACCTAGATTGACTGCACAGGCTTATAATCTCTCCCTCTAGTTTCTCTCTCCTCTAATACATATTGCATCCTACTACCACACCATTCTCCCTAAACAACCACTTTTAATCAATAAGAAAGCACTTATTAAAGCACTTACTACGGACCAGGCACTGTTGTAAATATTGAGGACACAAAGACAAAAGTTGAAACACTTCCTGCCCTGAGGGAGTTTACATTCTAACAGAGGAGATAGCGTGTACATGTGTAAGCATATATAGATCATATACAAAATGAATACAAGGTAGTTTTGGAAGGATCAACACTAGCACCTGGAGGGGTCAGGAAAGGATTCGTGTAGAAAGTCGCCTGTGAGCTGGGCTTGGAAGGAAATCAAGGATCCCAAGATAGGGGGATGAAGAGGAAAAGCATTCCAGACATGGAAAATAGCTAGTGCAAAGGTATGGAGATAGGAGATGAAATGTCATGTGTAAAGAACAGCAAGTAAATCAGTATGGCTAAACCATAGAGTACATGGAAGTACGTGGAGAGCTGATAAGAAGATTGGAAAAGTAAGAAGTGACCATATTATGAAGAGCTTTAAATGCCAGACAGAAGAGTTTATATTTGATCCTAGAGGTAATAGGGAGCCGCTGGAATTTCTTGAGCAGGGGGAAAACATGGTCAGGCCTACATTTTAGGAAGATTACTTTGGCATCTATGTGGGGCATAAATTGGAATGGGGAAAGATTTAATGCAGAGAGACCAATTGGAATGCTATTACAATAGTCCAAATGAGAGGTGATCAGGGCCTGATCTAGGGTGATGGCTGTGTGAGTGGAGAGAAAATAATATTATTGAAAGGGCATGTGGAGACAGAAGTGACAAGATTTGATAACTGATTGGATATGTGGGTTGAGAGAGAGTAAGGAGTTGAGAATGACATTGAGATCAGGAACCTGCATGACTGAAAGCATGGCGGTACCCTTAGCAATAGGGAAGTTCAGAAGAGGGGTGTGTTTGGGGAGAAAAATTAATTCTATTTTGGACATGTTGAGTTGGAGTTGGCTACAGAATATCTAGTTTGAAATGTCCAATAAGTAGTTGGTAATGCAGGACTAGATCTATAAATATATAGATCTGGAAGTCATCTGTATAGAGATGATAATTAGACTCATAGGAGTCAATGAGGTCACTCATTGAGACAATGTAAAGAGTAAAGAGGCTGCTCAGGATATAGCCTTGGGGGACCCAGCAGTTGATGAAGATCAAGCAAAGGAGGCAGACCAAGCTGTCAGACAAGTTGGAGGAGATACAGAAGAGAGTACCCAAGAAGAGAAAGTAGTTGATGGCATTAAGTCCTGCCTGGATCTAAAAACCCTCCTTACTTATCCAATTTTAGTTTCCATTTGTCGTCTGTATAACATACCTTGAAGCTGGAGTTAGCAGTGGGCCTCCAGTTCAGGATGGGGGGGGGGGCCTTGAAGACTGACCAGCCCTGTAATGAACAAATCACTGTAATGAGTGGTCTGCACTAGCTGATTGTGCCTTCATAAGCATTTCTTTCTTGAGTGAGGAAGATGTGTGTCACCAGATCTTGCCACTTCTCTACCCTCTGCTCTATACCCCAGAACTGAACATCCTGGGGTGCAAGAATGGCTAAACAGTTGATGGGGTCTCAAGCTTTGCAAATCCTTCCTCACTTGCTATTATTAAGCTCCTGATATCTGTGGTGACATTCTATGCAGTAGCTTTCCTTGCCAAGTCCTGAAAGCACCTTGTTGGCAGAACCAAAGCAACACTCTTCCCCAACACACACACTTCTCTCCAGTCAGACAGGTCCCCTACTGTCCCACTAACACATCATGTTCATTCCTGCTTTGCTCAGAACACCCACTCAAATTCCTTTCTAAATTCTACCCATCCTCTAAAACCTAGCTGAAGTCCCACTTCTTCCATCATTTTCTCCTATACTACTCTAGCCTGTGTTGACCTCTCCCTTCTCTTAACACATGTAGTCATGTGTGTCAGTCATAACTCCCCAGCTAGACCATGAATGAATGAAGGAAGCATTTCTTAAGTGCTTACTCTATGCAATGCACATTATGCTATATGAATATAATAGAATATTATTATGCTGTTAAGAAATGACAACTAGACGAAGCAATACATAGGAAGACATATGAATACATGCAGAATGAAATAAGCTGAATCAGGACAACAATATATACAAAGACTTCAGCAATGTAAACGAACCAATGAAATGAAGCTACACATTGTAATTGTAATGACCAAGCTTGCAAGTGCAGAAGAAATAAAGAAATGGATCTCCCAGCTTTCACTCAAGAGGGGGCAGAAATATGGATATGGAATATTTTATTTGCAGTCCAATGCATTCATTGTGTTGGCTGATTTTGCTTAGTTGTTTGGGTTTTTGTTTTGTTTCGTTTTGTTTTTTAATATTACAAAGGAAGGCTGACAGAGGAAAATTTGGAAATAACAAACAAAAAAGAATTTCAATGAAAGATTATAGAAAATAGGAGAAATGCTTCAAGACTGGAAAAGTGAAAATATCCCCGTTTTCTTTCTTCTTTTTGAAGTAATTGGGGTTAAGTGACTTGCCCAGGGTCACACAGCTAGTCAGTATCTGAGGCTGGATTTAAACTCAGGTCCTCCTGACTCCAGGGCCAGTGCTCTACCCACTGCACCACCTAGCTGTCACTCCTATTTTCATAAAAGGAGAAGAGAATGGAATCTGTAAACTCCATAGCAATTCTAGCTTGACTTTGATTCCTGGAAAAATTCTAGAATGTATTGTTTAAGAGATGTTATTCAATATTTCTCAAAGGAATTAATGCTCACAAAAAACCAGATGGCTTCATCCAAGAACAGGTCATACTCAATTAACTTTACTTTTATTGACAGGATTAATAGACTGATGGGGGAATAGTAGAGCTATTGTTCACTTAAAATTTAGCAAAAAATTTTTCATAACGTTTGTCTCACATGTTATTCTTTTGGCCAAAATAAGGAGATATGTGCTAGACAGTAGTGTACAGTTAGGTGGACTCCAAAAGTGAATAGCCACACCTAAAGAGTCATAATCAATGGCTCCATCTCAGCTTAGGAAGGGGTTCTTAACTTGGGGTCCATGAATTTTTTTAATATTTGAAAATTGTATTTCAAAACTCAATATTTCAATTTCCTTTATAATCCTATGTGTTTTATGTATTTAAAAACATTGTTCTGAGAAGGAGTGTCTTTTAGGCTTCACCAGATGACCAAAGAGGTCCAGGGCACAAAAAAAGGTGGAGAACCCCTGACTTCGATTATGGTAGCTAGAGGAGTGCCTGAGGGATCTGTGCCTGACCTGTGCCATTTAACGTGTTTATCAAGGACAAGGCAATGACACAAAGCTGGGAGGGATAGCTAATACAGGCCAGAATACATTGGTCCAAATCTAAGAAGATGAAACTTAATAAGGATAAAAATAAAGTTTTTTACCTGCATTCGAAAAATAAGCTTCAAAAATACAAGATCGGGGAAATGGATCTACACAGTTCACGTGGAAAAAAAAATCTGGCCATCTTAGTGCACTATGAGTTCACTATGAGTATTATATGGAAGCCTCCACAGCTTATACAGACTTAAGTTGCATTAAGAGAAGCAGAGTATACAGGTCTAAGGAGGTGACAGTCCCACTGTGGTGTGTCTTGGTCAGAATATAGCTTGAATAATGTTTGGTTCTGGGTACCACATTTTAAGAAAGACATTGGTAAGGTA